ACCCAGGACCAGGGAGCGCACGCAGCCCACCCAGGACCAGGGAGCGCGCCCAGCCCACCCAGGGCCAGGGAGCGCGCCCAGCCCACCCAGGGCCACCCAGGACCAGAGAGCATGCGAAGCCCACCCAGGACCAGAGAACGCACCCAGCCCACGGTGCCTGCCTGGTGAGAATTCTCTGTACCTGCAGGCCCCCGCCAACCTCCTGAGTCCACCTGCACTGGCTTGCTGTGCTGGGATGTTTTTAACTCTAGCTTTGTGTTTCTGATAACTTTACTTTTTGATCTTTTCATTTATTTTTATTTATTTTTTTAATAGAGACAGGGTTCACCTGTGTTGCCCAGGCTGGTCTTGAACTCCTGGCCTCAAGTAATCCTCCTGCCTCAGCCTCCCAGAATGCCGGGATTATAGGCATGAGCCACTGCACCCAGCCAGGGTGTTCATTTTCAAAGATGGGTGCACTTCCTCGGGGCCAGTGATGGCTGCCATGTGTGGTTTTGTTGTCAGCCACAAGGATAAGGCATGCAGTTAGATTCAGAGTTTGCCTGGTCTTGGGAGCACGAAGCTGAGCTCTCCTTCTCTGGATTCATTAAAGGTAGCAAGGACAATGATGGAGGACATCCAGAGGAAAATGTGTAGAGCCACAGACTCCGAGAAGCGCTGTGCAAAGATGTGGCAGTTGGTGTGGTCTGAAAATTGTTAGGGAGAACACTTCGACACCCCTTCCCCTGGCGAGGTGCCTGTGAATGTTGCCGCCTCTCCGTGGAAGACGCTGAAACAGTGTGGTGTGACCACACTTGCTAACCAAGCCCTGACCAGGGGACCGTTGTGCTGTTTGGAGGGTTTTTATTGTATGTAGGGCTGAGGGCCCCACAGAGTCTTGGGGTGAGCCTTATGCTGTGCTGAGGCGCAGGATCCGAGAAGTAAAGAGACAGGACACAGAAGTACAAGGAAAACACAGCTGGGCTCGGGGTCCACGCCATCTGTGAGCGGAGTCAGGGGAGACCCCGAATGTCCAGAAACGTGAGTATTTATTGTGTATAGGTTAGGGGGCAGGCAGTGAGTGAAATCATCTTTAAGGATAGTGATAGGGTCATCAGCAATAAAACATGGGGTCCACCCCTATTAGGTCACCTAGGCCAGGAGGTGGACAGTGCACAGCAAGGGGCCCGTTCCCATGAAGGCAAGGGCCGTGTGCAGTAAGGGGTCCACCCCCATTAGGTCACCGAGGCATGGAGGTGGGCCGTGCGCAGTGAAGAGGGTGCAGTGTGCGATACTTCTATCTATGGGCAAACTACTTTTTTGTTTTTAATAGGTTTCACCCTGATGGCCAGGCTGGTCTTGAACTCCTGACCTCAGGTGATCCACCCACCTCGGCCTCCCAAAGTGCTAGGATTACAGGCGTGAGCCACTGTGGCGTGAGCCACTGTGCCCTGCCTGGGCAAACTGCTTCTAAGATTTATAGGAGGATGCTTTAAGTCACACAGCAGTGACAGAGCTGTCAAGGTTACCGCCACCTTCTGGCAGCTTCCAATGGGTTCTATGGAAAGATGCTTTTCCAGCAGCACAGTAGCAAGAGCTGATAAAGTTCACAGTCACCAAGGTGGATTGTTGTTCTGAGGGCAGACTTCCACAAGAACTGGAGCAAGGTCCTACAACTCCTTTATCAGGAGGAGTGGCTCTCACCCCAAGCCTGCCATACAGCGGGTATCTTTACGATACTGAACGCTGCCGCCTGGGCCGTGGATTCTTGTCCTGGTATAACTGTTTTCCCTTATTTCATGCTCTGCACTGTGTCTGCTCTAGGCATTCCTCCGGTTATGAACTACGATGTGTGTGTGTGTGTGTGTGTGTGTGTGTGTGTGTGTGTGTGTGTGTGTAGGGAAGTATTCTTTAGGCACTCGTGCTATGAACTATTGTATGATTATATATAGAGAATTATATAAAGGGATTCTCCAAGCCCTATTTCTGTAAACTAGTATATGATTATATAAAGGCTTATATAAAAGGGAATAGCTGAGTAGTAACACTATAAGCTGAGATATTCTTCAGGCCTTAATTGTGCCAGGGTTCTGCTTAGCTCTCATTCCTTGGTGCCTATATGGGGGGTTACCACAGTTGTATGCTTATGTCTAGGCATGGCGCCTCGAATGAGCTTGTCAGGGACCCGAGGACTTTGTGTGTGGAGTCATCTCAGATACCCCACGTTTCCTGAAGACGCCTTGCCTAGTTGCCCTGGATCAGCGTTTCCCTGCTTCACCTACGCTTGGGAAGCGCGAGTAGCCAGATGAAGTCTTTCTGGTCTTGCTGGTCAGAGCCAGGAGGGCCAGCGTCATGGTCCAGGAGCCTCTCGCAGGCCTGGGACAGCCCGTCGGGCATGGCCTTTCCCTGGGTCCGGGAGCCTCTCGCAGGCCTGGGACAGCCGGTCGGTCCTGGCCTTTCCCTGGGTCCGGGAGCCTCTCGCAGGCCTGGGACAGCCCGTCGGTCCTGGCCTTTCCCTGGGTCCGGGAGCCTCTCGCAGGCCTGGGACAGCCCGTCGGTCCTGG